TATGTTGTTTCGTTTCATGTTGTCCCATAGCTCCCTTAGGCTCTCCTCCTATCTTTTAATTTTTTTCTCCAATTGCTGTTCAGTTTGGGTGTGTTTTGTTTCCCTGTCTTCTAATTTGCTAATTTGGTCCTCCGCTTCTCCTAGTCTACTGTTGAAACTTTCAATAGTGTTTTTTATTGCAGCTATGTCACTCCTCATGTCTTCTTGGTTCTTACATATTTTATTGATTTTTTTTATCTGTTTCTTCTTGCTTCTTTCATAAGTTGTTTATTTTTTCCTCCATCTGGTTTATGCATTCTAGGACCCTTAATCTGAATTCTTTTTCTGTCATGCTGCATGCCTCAGTTTCACTTAGCTGCTTTTCTGGCGAGTCCTCCTTTTCTTTCCTTTGGGGGTTTCTTTGTCTACCCATGTTTGCTCTCACCGGCATATCTAGATGTTGAGTCGTTCAGTGGCTCCTCCCTGGGTGGCAGTGGCTCCTCAGGCTGTGGTTGCTCCTCAGGCAGTTGTGGTAGCAGCTGCTCCTCAGTTGGCAGCAGCTCCTGTGGTGGGTGCTGTTCACCATTGTGGTGGCTCCTCTGGCTGGTGGGGGGAGGCTTCACACACAGCTGCTGTTTCTCAGACAGAGGGTGTGGTGATCAGGAGGCTGCTGTTCCTTGAATGCTGTCTTAATATCTTACTGCCAAAAATTCTATAAACATTGCTTTAGTAATCATTGATTTTATAATATGTTTGCAATGACATTCTTATCAAATTGTTCAAAAGAAGAGAATATAGTGTTTTTACCAGCATTATTTTTCCTCAGTGAATGAAATTTGTGCCAGGTTTTATTCTAAACTATCTGACAGGCCTGATGATTTGCTTCATGTGAATGTCTGTATATGTTTTAACTGTTTGATTTATCAGTATATCAGATTACATAAACCACACCATTTGATGACTTTTTATTTTTCTATATATTCAAAGGATCTCTTAGACTTAATGTAAAACATCCCAAATAGAGCCCTATAAATACCTTGGTTACATTTATCCTAGTTTTCATCGGCAAATTTCAGCATATTGTTTTACCCATATAGCACTATCTTAAATCTCTTATAGTATACTACAGGTCCGATACATGAAATTCGTTCAAGAGTAGGCCTTCCTTCCCCCAGCTGCCGACACTGGCTTCCCTCTGGCGCCCAGGACCCGGGCTTCCCTTGCAGCCTCAGCTTCGTCCAGAAGGTCTTCCGGTCTAATTAGCATATTATGCTTTTATTATTATAGATACTGGACTGTACACTAGCCCAGCCTTGCGCCCCGAATGACTTTGGTAATGCTTACTATTAAGTTAAATAGAAGATTTTCCTGGGGAAGTATACATTAACTAATTCCCAGAGGTCTTGCTGTGTTTTTTAATGCTAGTGCATAGAATACATGCATTTTTAAAAACCTATGTTAGTGTACTTCTTAAAGTATTAGTGGTTATGTATCTTTATTTCATGTCCTACTCCTTTAGTGAACAGGAAAGGCTTAGACTTCTCTTATAAAGTTTACTATCATAGGTGATTTAAATGTGGGTTTCTCCCCACCCCCCAAACTACTTATTTGCATCATTGTTTTTAGCCCTTTAGTCATAAGAATAACAATTATAGCCCTAACCGGTTTGACGCAGTGGATAGAGTGTCGGCCTGCAGACTGAAAGGTCCCAGTTTCGATTCCAGTCAAGGGCATGTACCTTGGTTGTGGGCACATCCCCAGTGGGAGGTGTGCAGGAGGCAGCTGATCGATGTTTCTAACTATCCCTCTCCCTTCCTCTCTGTAAAATAAAATCAATAAAATATATATTTTTAAAAAAAGAATAACAATTTTAATAACATTTGTATATAATGTTTTTCTAATCTTCATAATGCTCATTGGTACCAAGCATGATATAAAGGGTTTGGCTTAAGTGACAGAGTATTATCAGGTATTTATTACTGTCTTGGTCCTCACAGTGACTATCTGTAGGACCTTGAGTGAGTCACTCTACCTCTTTGCGATTATCATTCCCAACCATCCAAGACGAAACCATCACAATTACCTCAAAAGTCCCCATTTAGCCCTAGTCACTGTGACTCAGTGGATAGAACATTGACCTATGGACTGAAGGATCCTGGGTTTGATTCCCGTCAAGGATTGCAGGCTCAGTCTCCAGTAGGGGGCATACAAGAGGCAGCTGATCAATGATTCTCTCATCATTGATGTTTCTATTTCTCTCTCCTTTCTTCCTCTCTGAAATCAATAAAAATATATTCTTCAAAGTCCCCATTTAGCACTAATTTTCTGTTAATTTATGATTGTAATAAAATATATCCCATTTCAGAATCTAAGCCTTTAAGGCTAAATTGATTATTTTATTCCATGGCTAAGGTCAAGCTGTTTTTTGTTTTGTTTTGTTTTTTAACTCTTAAAGCACTTATATCTATGGAAATATATCTTCTCTAGTTATTTAAGTATTTTGCTCTCTGTATGTTTACGTAAGAACGAAGTTGATAAAGTTGTCAGTTGGCAGTTTCACATGTGCATTTAACAGTTTAAATGTTTTCCTATGGCTCATTTAGAGCCAGAGAAATGAAATATTTACTTTAAAACTTCTCCTTCTCCCTATAATAATTGTGTTTCATAATAAGCTTAAGGTGTGTGTACACACACACACACACACACACACACACACACACACACACACACACAATGTAGGAGCCTCTCAATCATAGAGTTTGGGGAACTTATCAGTGGTTATATGTACAATATTGCAATGGAATTTCCAGCCCTGAAATCTTTGATGCTATATTGCTTCCTACCTAATTGACTTCACCATATGAATTTTTCAGGTCTCTCAAATTCAACATTACCAAAACTGTACTCAGTCTTCTTTAGCCACTTGTTTCCCTTCTTGATTGCCTTGTTTCTGTTAACGATGCTACTACCATTATCTCTTGATACCTGGATTTACCTTGGACTGATTTTTTGTTTTGTTTTTTATTTTAGGGTTTTTTTATGGTTTTGTATGCATCGAGCTCATGCTGCTTGTTTGCAGAATAGAGCTCTTTCTTGTCTCTTTTTGCCAGCCCTTCCTTTTTGTTTCTGTTGTCCACTCTTTCTAACACCAGGTGCTTATATTAAACCTTCGCTTTGGGATATTTTTCACAACTTCCTTAAGTAGGAAAATCTGGAGTTTCAAAAATAGTAATCATTCAAAATTATTTATGAGATAAAAGTAATGTAAATAATAGTGGACTGTATTGGTGTCAAAATTGGAAATGCTTATATGTTAAACATTTATTAAGGACAAACTATAAATAAAGCCCTTCTAATTCTAATTTTTTTTTATAGTTCAAAGAATTGTTCTGAGGATCAGCAAACTTTTTTTCTGTGAAAGTCCAGATAGCAAATATTTTAGGCAATTGCTCAACTCTGCCCTTGCAGCTGAAAAGGAAACATAAACTATACAGTAACAAATAGGCCCGGCAGTGTTCAGAAGAACATTGTTTATGCACACTCCCACATAAATTTCTTATATTTTTCACATAGTATTAAATATTCTTCTTATTTTTTTAACCACTTAAAATGTAAAAACAGTTTTTAGTTCTTGGTCTATACAGAAACAAGCAACAGGCTGTGTTTGGCCCACGGGCCTTAATTTGCAGTGGATCCTTGCATTATGCAAAGAACTGGGAAAGGAGAGCAGGACTGCACGCTTCAGAAGCTTATTTTAAATAGATGAAATAACATTATCAATATGTACAAGTGCTGTATGCTTTAAGATTATACAAAATGGAACTCCTTTAAAACACATCTTCCAAGATGTTAATACAGTAAATAGTACACTTTTTTCTTAGTTGTTGAGAGTTTTTATTTTTCTGCTTTGCAATAGAGATGGACTTTGGAGAGGAATGGTGGTTAGGTCTATTAGCATGGCCCAATTAAAATCCAGTGACTTTTCTCCTTTTGGCAGACTCCCTAGACCTCATTTTATTTATATTAGTGCTTCACATGCCATAGTGATTCAATAAATGGTTGATATGACAGAGATTGTTGTTTTTTTATAGGGCTTAAAAGCATCTTTTTAAAATGAGTATTATCTTAGGTATTTCTTGTGCACTTCTGTTCTACTTGTTTATTCACAGCTCTAATTGTAGCTGTTTGTCAGATCAAATAGAGGTCACTAGAAAACCAAAGATGCTAAGTCACACTTTTTCCTTCCCAGCCACAGAGCCTGTTTGACACTTTGGCAGCTATCAGAGCATTTCACACTTCATTGAAAAGCCATAAAAACCATTCATAGGTCAGACTGAAGAGTTTTACCTAATTATATTGTATTTTTAATACCTGGAATTTCAAAACTGAAAAGAATACAGAATTTGTGGTCCCAGCTCAGCAGTGGAGTAACTCTGCCTATCTGGGACTCAGTTTTCTAATTTTTAATCAAGAAAGATATTGCCTCCAGAATATTATAATGCTAAGGGCCATATAAATCATTTAGGCAGTGGTTCAAGCTCTCCATCCCAGGAGCACTCCAGCACCTCTCCCCTCCCTCTATTCTTTCCCCACAGGCAATACACCTCCTAAACTCTAAAGGACACTATGAGGCTTGCAACCAGGACAGCAATGAAGCGTGCGAGTCTATTTTGAAGAAGTACTCTTGATATTTGGCTCTGTTGACTAATGAGTTTGCCGACCACTGAGATAGACGAAACAAGTATACAAGACGAGTGTGGATGGGAGAGTTGGAAGGGGTCGACCTCAGCAAATGTACCTCAATCAGATTGAGGACGTTTTTAGCAAAGGCCAGCTTAGGAGTACCCTAATTAAGTTAATAACAATATACCTACCTATATAGTTTAAGTTTAAAAAATTTGGCTCTCAAAAGAAATTTCAATCGTTGTACTGTTGATATTTGGCTCTGCTGACTAATGAGCTTGCCGACCACTGCCCTAGGGAATAAGTCCAAGTCCATGCATGGGCCCTTTAAGAGAACTGCTGGGACTTGAGCAGCCTGAGCCTCAATCCCCACTTGTTTTTACAGCCAGAAGTTATGGATTTTTCTCTTTCTGGCATAGGAATCCTGGGCTAGAGCGCTTGGTGTGGAGCTGCAACCCTTCACTCCTCAGGGGAACCTCTATTACTAAGATATCCCTCCCAACTTTTATCTGCTACATGTGGGTATGGGACCAGCCTGCCCCTCCTACCAGTATGGATGTGGCTTCTTCTTTACATCCATAGTTATTCCATTAGATTTCAGGTTGTTCTCAATGATAATTATTTAGTTGTAATTTTGAGGTGATTGTGAGAGGGCATGTGTACCACAGTCACCTATGTTGCTATCTTGACCAGAAGCCTTTATCACTTATTTTGAGGAATATTGAAAATGGTTTTGCTTCAGTGACTCGCTTATCCTAATTTCATTTCAGTGTTTGACTGAATAAGGAATGATACAAATGAAAATTTTTGTTCACTATGTCAGGAAATCCAGGTATTTGTGGTTAAAGTAACAGTATCGCTGGTATCCTTCTTGTTTAAGAATGATTCCTAGAAATTTATAAAAGTGAAAGCATTGAATAACTATAAATTGTTTTATTGATAACTAAAACTTTATTTTTGAATTGGACAGAATGCTTAAGAATTTCTTTTTAAGCTCTGGCCAGGTAGCTCAGTTGGTTAGAGTGTTGTCTCCATACACCAAGGTTGCAGGTTTGATCTCCTGTCAGGGCACATAGAAGAATCAACCAGTGAATGGATAAATAAGTGGAAGAACAAATGGATATTTCTTTTCTCTCTCATTCTCTCTCTCTGAAAATTAATTTTCAAAAAGGACTTTATTTTTAAAGTTTAAGAAATTGGTGGTGTTGTAGCTTTTATTTTTAACCAAAAGGAAATAATCTTAATACTAATAAATAAGAATTGCCAATCTTAAAATCAGAAGCAACTAATACCTAAATAACTTTTATTGTCATTTCATGAACTAATACTGCATTTTTGTTGTGTTTCATTTATTAAAGGTTTTATATTTTTAACATGACAATAACTTACTTAAATCTATCATTGCAAATTTTTGAAAAAAATCTTTTTTAGATTTTAGTAAAACATGGAGGAGACTTGTTTGCTGAGAATGAGAATAAAGATACTCCTTGTGATTGTGCTGAAAAGCAACACCACAAAGATTTGGCCCTTAATCTGGAATCGCAAATGGTATTCTCACGAGATCCCGAAGCTGAAGAAATAGAAGCTGAGTATGCTGCATTAGACAAACGAGAGGTAAGGTGTATTTTTTTAATTAAAAAGTTATATGGATTTTATGTTAAATTTTTTTCTTGTTTAAAGCCCAGTTTGTGTGGTCTTTTTTTGCAATGGTAAATATCCAGTCATCTACATAACCATCATATGTAATAAAAGACAAAAATGGTAATTGGCGTACGACCAATACCCTTTTCATTGGCTAATCAGGGCTATATGCAAATTAACTGCCAACTAAGATTGGCAGTTAACTGCCAACTAAGATTGACAGTTAACTGCCAACTAAAATTGGCAGTTAACTGCCAACAAGATGGCGGTTAATTTGCATATGTAGGCACAGTGCAGGGAGGCGAAAGGGAAAGCAGGAAGAAGCCCCCTGCCACTGACAGTGATCAGAAACCCAGGGGGGAGCTAAGAGCTGGGGGGCAGGGAAAAGGGGG